TTTCCTCATGCGAAAACTCGTATGGTCTTAACGTACAATCGCAAGAAAACGCGATTTATCTTCTCGCCGATTGTTTCGGAGCCGACATTGTTCATTTGGAAGTAACTAAGCAGTTAAGCAAGTTTCTCCATTTATTTTCTGCGCCGATTTATCTCTCAAGAACCATTACGTTACGTGGACTCCGAAATCCTATCCCACCATAAAATGTCACTTTTATTTTAGAAGATGTGATGATCTCCTAATATCTCTGCTAATTACAAGATCGATTGCTTTAGATATTATGTCTCGAGATATTTGAGTTTTTTTAATTACGATTTTTTATTTTAAATTATTATTACCGCCTTGGCGAATATTTATGTATCGGGAAAGAAGAAGCGTCTGAGCTATTCTCACGCTGATTGCACTTTGTCGGTTTATCTATAAACGAAGAACAGCGTCGCATCAAAATAGCTATGCGCATAATGGCCATAAGCGTGTATCGCGGCCAAATCAAGGGCAGAATCATGGCATTGTCGGCGACCAACGGCATGTGTTGGCGATGCATGAGCACGTGGATAGCATCGAACATAAAATCATTGTTCTCGTTCGATAAATCCGAGCGATGCTTCGTCCAAATTGTCGGCCAACGCGGAAGTGTTTCACAACGTAATCGCCAATAAATTCACTTTAATGCAACCGGCAATAATACTCCAAATGTTATTTAGATTTTTTTTAGATTTTATATTTTTATTAAATTTGATTTTTACCGATAAATCTCTATTTTTTATATACTTTTGAAAAGGATAAAATAAAATTGGGAAGGACAGAGGGTAAAAATATATGATTTAGTGCACTGTGCCTCGGATGCATACGCAGTTTCATTTTGACATAATGCATAAGGAAACGAGCAGGATGCAACCAATTTTTTTAGATTTTATATTTTTATCAATTTGATTTTTACCGATAAATCTCTATTTTTTATATACAATACTTTCGAAAAGGATAAAATAAAATTGGGAAGGACAGAGGATAAAAATATATGATTTAGTGCACTGTGCCTCGGATGCATACGCAGTTTCATTTTGACATAATGCATAAGGAAACGAGCAGGATGCAACCAATTTTTTTAGATTTTATATTTTTATCAATTTGATTTTTACCGATAAATCTCTATTTTTTATATATTTTCGAAAAGGATAAAATAAAATTGGAAAGGACAGAGGGTAAAAATATATGATTTAGTACACTGTGCCTCGGATGCATACGCAGTTTCATTTTGACATAATGCATAAGGAAACGAGCAGGATGCAACCAATTTTTTTAGATTTTATATTTTTATCAATTTGATTTTTATCGATAAATCTCTATTTTTTATATACAATACTTTCGAAAAGGATAAAATAAAATTGGGAAGGACAGAGGATAAAAATATATGATTTAGTGCACTGTGCATTAGATGCATACGCAGTTTTATTTTGGCATAATGCATAAGGAAACGAGGATGCAAGAAAATGCGTTTGAGAGGAGGGCGCATGTTGGCGAATTCTCTATTGTCGTGTTTGTGGTTGTTTGGCCGCCTCGAATAATAATAATGCAACGCGATTCTCCGGAGGGACGCGGAATCACGTCGGGAAATCGCGCACACAACTGTCCCGACGAGCACCTCTATTAATAATAGCTCGTATTAATAGTGACTCGCCGCGATTTATATATAGACATGTAGAACTAGATGATGCTTCGTGATCCGCAAGCTGCTTATGGACGCGCATCATTAGCGTACTTAGCAAGGATACAGAGTATAACAAGACCTCGGTGATATACTGTTACAGATAATAGCAATTTCGCGTTTCTCTGTGATCTGCGAGACGGTTTAGAATTTGATACGATAATCCAAACCGGCGACGGTGTCATCGTGGAACATCTGTTCCTTAGTAAATTAAATCGGTAACGCGCTGAGATCACGATCCTCGTCTTATAATTGGCTCTCGTATCAAGAAAGGGCTAAGCGTCTCGAAAATATCAAGAGACCCGATACTGGGCTTTATTATGTCGAAAGCGTGTTACAATTTTATAAATATAACGGCGCAAAGAGACGCGACGTTAACGACCATGTCACATTCATAAATTTGTCATTCGCGTGCCGTGACTGAGCGACCAGATTTATGCCGATCAATTCCGAATGCGCGTTTTGACAATCGTTGATTTATACCCGTCGAACGCAATCGGGAGACCTGTTGCGCCGCGACAATGCACGCAGCCGCATCCGCACGAAAGCGGATTTACGGTGACACGTTTGACAGCCAGTATACGCATACATATGTACATGTACATCAGTCTAATGCTATGGCATGCACGCGAAAGCAACGGTGCATGATAGATGCGACATCGGCTTCGAGGGATGACAGGACAGGGGGGTCCTTCAAAGGAGGGATATATTTCTATATTGGAAATCGGCCAATGGCCATGTGCCTTGAAACCTTATGTATTAATCTATCTTGCCTAATTTTGCTCGAACCCTCTAACGTCGCCCTAATTTATCTGCGGTGTGATTATTTCGTGCGTGGTTGTGCCACATGAAACCGCTCGTTAAGATCGCCAATCTAATAAGTTTCGGATTGTTGTTTAATGTCAAAGATCATAGAGAGGTGATAACGATATGAGTAAAGCAAAAATTTAAAAAAGCGGAACAGATAACTTCTCGCGAAATTACTGTAGCCTCATAAATTTATTTCTGTATAATATACATTTTGGGACATATTTCTGATGGCATGAAAAAGTTATGTTAATTACATATTTTTTATTTATAGTTAATAACAATATTTTTATGGTATCATATATCAAATTTGTACACTGTATATGGTTCAGACGCTTCGGATCTTTTTGATAGACTATTGAATACGTGATTTAGGTTCGATTGTCGTCAATCCGAGAATAATATTGTATAACGAAATACTGTATTGATTTACGCCCCAGGGATTAATCCATTCTTGAGATATCTACAATTCGATGAATATTCGTTGACCCGTCTCAGGCGAAGTCTGTTTGTTTGTCTGACATACTGAGATATCAAAATTCGACAGAGTTTGATGCTTATTTGCTACTTATTTCGCATGCACACAATTCAGAAAAATTATCTTCAATCTTTTTCTATTAATACAATCACTATTTTAGAATACATTCAAATAAGTCAATCATGAAGATTTTAACAATCGGCGAAAAAAAATTGCATTGCTATTACTTTGAAAAATGGAAGCAAAATGGTTTTAATTTTTTTATAAGAGGAAAATAGGAGTACGTTCAAAGTTTTTCAAAGTCACTGTCTATTATTATCTGCGTTTAACCTTGATTCTGTTTTTATTACTGTTGCTTCGTTACAGTTGAATTGAATCGTGCATAAAATACCAGTTACAGAACATCGATAAAACATTAATAGAGCGCAGCGCAAAGAATACCTATAATAGGAACGAATGCCTTCGAGATAAGTTTATTGTACAATGTAAATTTGTGCGGTAAAATCGCTTGACATAGCAACAGGTTGAAACTTTATTCGTGCGACTCACCGTCGAGTAACTCGACAAAAAGAAACAAACGGAGTAAATTAATCCGTTTAGCCATCGAAGATCGATGTTGACGCTAGGGAATGAAATCGGATAATTTCTACTGTTTCATTCCATTCCATTTTTTTATCACAAAACAATGTTAAATATTTAAAATTAAATTTATATTTTTAATTTTTATTTAAGGATTAATTGCATTTCTAGAAAAGATATAATTAAGTTGTAATTTTTTATTAATGAAAACTGACCAGTTTTAGAAAAGACTTGCAATTTTAATAGTTTTAAAAATAAAGTTTTCTCGCAAAAGTTTTGTAACTTAAAATTCATATATTATATGACAGATATCATGAATAAAAAAGCATAGCTGCGAATGAATTTTATCATGATTAGAATAATTCCCATCTGAAATATGTTCGCGTTCGCACACCTTGGCAAAATTACGGAGTCACTTTTAACTCGGTTCCCGACCTGAATTCTTCTTCTGATAATAATTAGACGTAGTTCCGTCCCTAATTGGCGGCTTCTAATTGGAGCTCGATTTTCCCAAGAATGTGTTCGACGTTCCTTCAACTACGACATTTCCGTCGGAATTCATTTGCATGCTTACAATTAGTTCGACGTGAATGATGTGGGTGCAAAAGTTCGTTCGAGCAGATGTACGAAATGTAACGCGCATAAAATAAAATCACGAAAATTTTTTCGAACATTTTCTGACAAAATTTATAAGAGAAAGCTGTTCTTGATAGCTGATATTTTTTTCCCCCGAAATTTTATCGTACATTATATTTTTTTATTTCTTTAATTTCCATTATTATCTATTAATTTAAATTACGAGAACAGGATAAAAGATGCGAAAATCTAGAAATACACAAACATCTATATCTCTTTTCTAGTTTCTTCTCTGTCGCAAATCTCGACAATTTTTCCAAGTCCCGCTGAATTCCTTGGGAATCCTTTACTAAGACGTAATACGAAGGTCGAGTGACGCTCAGGGCTGCGTAGGTCGGCGACTAATTGCCAACTAATTTGTTCTCATCTCATTACGACAGAGAAAATATTTCTTCTAGACTTCGGGTAACACAGTTCGTGTTTCCTCCAATAATTGCTACGTAAAGATAGCATGAACCCGAGACAATCGGCTGAATAATTTATCTCGCCAATCGATGAGGACAAAAATACCATAGAAGTTTTCCAACTATTTCGAACTCTGTATTTTAGTTCGCAGGGGGAATTGACGAAAATATAAAGCTCTTTTATAATTAAAGTGTTGATAAGATATTTAGAACTAATATGAAAAAAAGCTTTAGATTTAGGAGAAAGTAGTTCGTTATAAAATGCTTATAAAAAGGATGTTATATCTAATGTATTAAATTTACACAATTTGTCACGTCTTGCTGACATGTCGATTCCGTACGACAGAGATATTTATATATGTCATCTTGGTTGTCTGATAACGGATTGCAGGGCGGACTATTGGAAGTCCCAAGGCCGTAAGTTCTGCGACTTCTGCAAATGCTGGATCGCCGATAATAAACCGAGTATCGACTTCCACGAGGGCGGCAAGAAGCATAAGGAAAATGTCAGCAAGCGGCTCAAAGAAATTCACAAGAATAGTGCCAAACAGGCGAAGCAGAATAAAAAATTCGAGGATGATCTCAAAAAGATGGAAAATGTACGTATTTGTATTTATCATGAATATTTGATATAAAATTTTATGATTAATGATAAATATAATCATTCTTTTTCATGCAGGCGGCTATGGCTGCATACTTGAAGGATGTCGAGAATAACACGCGAGATATGACTGCTGAAAAAATTATTAAAGACAAACTGAACAAGATTGAGACGAAAGAGGTATATTTACATTTTTTTCAATATTTAAAATGAATAGAGAGTTTAATAATCTCAAGTAATATAATATGTTTTATCTCACATATCTCACGTATACATTTCTAGACGCCTCAGAATTTTAATCGCATGCCACCAGCCTCTTTGGAGACGGTACCGAGATTCAAAAGTAACACTGAACAGGTGAGTAGATATTCAAATCAATTTTCCTAATTATTCTATGATTGTAATGATTAAACAAAACAGTCATTTATCACTTTTATTTGCAAGATCAAGAATAAAATTTCTTTTATTTATAAAAAAGATTAGTCATTCTTTATTATATATTATATATATATATATGTACACCCGTGTTTCTCAGAAAAACTGGGGCGCAATTTATTAATATGAATGCAACTTTTCGCTGAGACTTTTCCAGTTCTTGCCAAAAGTTGATCCTTGCGATCCGACTTTGTCGAAAAGCGCGCCATCGCTTCCACGAGTCCAGCAGCAGGGCGAGAACAGGACTCCAGGGAGGAGTAAAGCAAACAAGACGAAGGGAAAGGGGAAGAAGACCCAGGAGGATGATCGTCTGACCGCACCTGTCAGGAAACTATGGTACGAGGCTCTCAGTCCCGAAGGATACACTTACTACTGGCACATTGAAACGAACGGTACGTGTACCTTTGTCAAACTTTTTTTTATCTTTTTTTTCTCGTCTGTCTCCTAGATATTTGATTGTGTTAGACATTACATTAACATCTTGTTCTCTCTCAATCTAATAACAAATTACAATCAAATAAGTAATTATAATATAAAATTTATATACATTTTTCTTAAGAATCTCGCAATTTCTAGATTTATATTTCTCTTCCAATTTATTATGTAGAATTTTTATATACTATATTTTGTTATACTTAGATAAAAATAAATTTTAATGCCACTTTGAAATTACATTATTATGACATCGCATAATATTGAATTTTGATACGAGAATTCGAGAATCTTATTTATTATCAAGTACATCATTTGGTATACATATTAGAATCGGTTTGGGAGCCTCCGGAGGAGGGTTACATGACTCTCGCAGAGCAAGAAGAGGAGACGAAAGAGGAAGCACTCCAGAAGGAGCTTATGGAACAATTGGACAAGGAGGAAGCGATCGAGAAAGCAGATATTTTCGAGGAACAACGAGCCAATGCCGAAAGAGAGAAAATGAGGCAACGTGTGACACAATCTGTTAGAAACGAGAACGATGAAACCGAAGATGACGACAAAAGCACAGAAATAAAAAAAGAGACAACCAAAGAGGAACGACCTTACTGGCGAGACTACAGCGTGCCCGAGAGACCGCAACCTTATGGATCCTGGCAAGTCGTGGAGACAATGTAAATATTTGAACGTCATATTATTCCGGTCGCAAAGATGGATTAAGACGTTATTCGTCGAGATTTATCGTGCTACGACGAATCTTTGCTCTCAATTTTCAAATATCCGATATATAAAATACAGAGGGAGAGAGTATTAATATATTTTTACGATTAAATACTTAATTTCTTGAAACGCTGAACTAACATATATAAAAATCTTGATCTTTTATATTTCTTTATGTTTGTGTACGATGGTCGGAAATGAAAAAAAGTTCGTAAACTAGGAATGGAAGCTAGCATACAGTTTAAGTTTTATTAATTGTTTCACATTGATCAATTAATACAATAGCAATAGATATTGTTTATTTATTTGTACATTAAAGTGCATCATCACATTCGAGGATTAAGCAATTTTATGTGGAGGAAAAGGATATTTTGTATTTCAGCGAAAATGTTTTGTGTTTCAGCAAAAAGAAACCAGTCGATCTCCAATTGCCAAAGCAAAAGCAGGTACAATTGTCTGTGTTTGACAAGATAGAACCACCGCCGCCGCAGAGGACTTTCAAAGAAAAGACTGTCACAAAGATTAATATCGATGATAGTGATGACGAGGATGCATCAACTACGTTTAAGAAAAGAAAAATTGGTAATAAAAACGTACGTAAAAGAACGACTGATGATTAGCATTGGAATTTTTTTCTGAATATTATGTTTGTGTATCTTTTTATTTAATTGTTAAAACGTTTGTTAAACAAACATTGACAATTTGTATGGATAAACAAACATTACATAATATTTGTATAAAACTTTGTGTATATAAGTAGATTAAGTAGATATAAGTAGTAATTGAAATAGTAATATAGTAGTAATAAAGTAGTGCTTATAAGTAGTAATAGATTCTTTATACATACTTTACTGTGCACAAATATGTAGATAACGCATTGATATTTAAGCTATACATGTATGTATGTATGTATATATATATATATATATATATATATATATATATATATATATATATATTATTGCGATATACATAATTCTAATTGTAAATAAAAAGTCCGATTGTGAGTTTTGTATTTTATATGAAAATCTTGATTCTTATCATGAATATTATTAATTAATTTTTTGTTGATACGTTTGCGTGTGTCTGAAAAATCTAATTAATATGATAGAAATAATTATCAATGAGATAATGTACAGAACAAGAATACACTAATTGAATGTGAATATCTTTATATACAACATTTATTTTTATCTTTAACAAGTATATTACTATTAATATAATATTGATTTATAATTTTGTTTATACATTGTCTGTAATATTATCAGGGATGTGTAAAATGGGTATTCAAATCCATTTAAAATAGATGTAAAATAGTTAAGTTTTCTATTTGAAAATACAAAATGCTTTCTGGATACCCATTTAAAAAAGGAAATGGAAAATTTTAAAGCATTTTAAAATGGTTTTTTCAAAAACATTTATAAATTTTCTTTATAAATGAACATTCTTTAATGACTTCTTTAATGATTGTTATACGTATATACATTATGTATATACGTATTTTTACCTCAATTAATTATTAATTTGCAAGAGAAATGCATTTGAAATAAAAAATTGGTAATTTATTTAAATGTAAAATAGTTTTTGAAAACATGTCAATTTTAAATGCAAAATACATAATAGGTATTTTATATTTTTATTTTAAATGCATTTATTTCAAATAATGCACATCCCTGAATATTATCACATTCGTACAACTCAACATGAAAATATGTATATCTACATGTCCCAAATACGCATTTCGGTTATAAAGCATATGTGCGATAATATGACATTATATTATGCATTGCGTATTATTCTGACATATTTAATTTTGATAAAACGACATTTTTTTACGAGATAAGTAAAAGACCAGCTAAAATATACACGCGAGACTCATTTTCTCTTTAAAGCTGTAATTGTATGAATTTGCATATTAAATTACTACATTTTTACGATATGTCAAATCATATCAGAGAAACAGTGCATACACATAATTTACATGAAATAAATATTTAAATAGATTATCGAATTTTAAGTGGCAATATAAAGATAAAATAAAAATTTATTATAAACATTGCACATATTTTATAATATGTATGTACAATATGTATGTACAGACATTCGCATCTAAAAAAACAGACAAAAGAACAGATTGAATAATGAAGCTGGTAATTTTTCATAAATCTCTCTGACGAAGTACTTTCAAATGAACACTATATATATATATATATATATATATATATATATATATATATCAATATATATCTATATATACATATACACGGATAATATTTTTACACAAGTGCCTCATCTACCGAGTCCGCCTCGATGACACGCTTAACATTCTTCTCTTTATACCGCCCACTTCCATTGAGCTCTTCAACAATATCTTCGCGCGTCCGTCCTTTAGTCTCCGACACCAATACGAAGCAGAACACGAAACTGCACGCGCAAGAGCCGGCAAGGAAGAAGAAGCAGCCGTGTATACCTAGTACAGCGATGAGATTGGCAAAGGTCATCACTACAATAAAACTTGAAATCCAGCACATGATAGAACCCACAGTCACGGCTACGCTAGTCACGTCGCGGCTGAATATTTCGGACATTATCACGACTGGTCCGTTGCCCATTCCCAGAGCAAACATTATCATGAAGATAGACAGTACTGTGATTGGTATCCAATTATAAACGGATACATCATATTGTAACTTTTGGAGGTAGCAGAACGCGCCGATCACAAAATGACACATGCACATTGCCGCGCAGGATATCAAAAGCAAAGGCCGTCTACCCGCACGTTCCATTAAAGACGTCGACAGAAATGAACCAAGAAGCATTATAGCTTGCACTATGATGGATGACATGTTTGGCGATAATGAACTGCCGGACATTTTGAAAATACTCTCCGCATAACTGATCTGGAAAAGTCAGAAATTAATTAAAATTAAAAATTATTATTTAGCTTATTTTGTAGGAATGAATAGATCAAATGAAAGAAAGTTTTTAATATCATTTCCCGTAATGTTAATACATTAAATCAACAGTAATTAAGAAAAGCAAGAAAATGACTTAAATTATTACATATTTGTTCTTCATATAAGAGACTTTATTATATAAGATTAAATATTTTTTCACTTTTTTGAGTTAACACAATATTAGTTTAAATATATCGATAATTACCACCGCAAAGATTCCAGAAAATTGTTGACCACCGTACAAACCCAAGATGATAATTAGTCCTTTTATCGTTGCTCTGTCTCTAAATAAATCCGATAGCTTGGCGGCTTTTGTGCATGCGGCTTCCTTAACTTCCAATTGTAGATGCGACAATGTCTGTTCTGCGACTACAGTATCTCCAGCTTTCAACCAATTCAACGATCTAAAAAGGGCGAATTGCAATATTCTTTTGCGATGCTTTGAAGGAGATAATTTTTCTCCTCATCCCGCTTACCTAATTGCTTCACGCATACGATTTTGGCGTACCAGGTAGACCGGTGATTCCGGCATAAAGGCGAAAACGATGACGTACAATGCGGTCAAAATCGCGCCAACCACAGCGAGATTATACAGGGACATCATGCCGCCTAAGATGTAAGCCAGCAGTATCCCGAAATGTAGACTGGTTCCGAACATACTTGCTAATGTACCGCGGATGCTGTCACATGAGATCTCCGACACATAATTCGGGACCAAGAAGAACAGACAGGCGCCGGTGATACTACTTATAGCTTTCGCTATGTAGATGCATATGTGTTCGGTGGCGAAGATGATCAAGAACCAGGAAATTGTGATCGGCAACGTTACAACGTAACCGAATCTCTTTCGACTAAACTTGTCGGGTATCACCGCAAGCAGCATTATCATAAAGTTACCAATCAAAAACATAATGCCATTCATCCAGGATATACCTTCATCCGTCACAGGTTTGCCTCCTACGGCCGGCGATTCTGGATTCTGGAGTTGCGGAACTGCCGGTGATTGCCATCCAACAAAGAATCCATAGAGCACCGACGACAGATTAACTGCGAAGATTAACATGATTACCCAATATGGAATAATCAATACAAAAGTCTAATTGAGATTTTATAATCAAGGATACCTTACAAGTAAATATTTTAGAGTTTTAATGTAGCTTAGAGCTTTCTATTAGTTATTTTTAGATTATTTGTAGTAGTGTTTGGTGTTTATATGGTTAAGTATATTCAATTTATATTTTTGTAGTTTTTATATTTTTCTCTTCTATAATTTTTCAATTTTTGTTAAGGGTATCATCAGATATTGAAAGTTTTCAGTTATGGAATTTTTGCATTACTTCTCACATGTTGCTTATTGTAAAGTGTCAATCTATTTCACAAAGTATATTTTTTGAAGAATTAAAAAAGAAAAGGATTCTTTCTTTTTAACTTACTGATCACCGTAAAGATAAACTGCCGCCATTTGCCTGGCTCCTTTGCCGATTTTTCACGCTTCTTCATCACACGTCGTACAGGCAGAAAAATGTGATCGCAATAACAGAATGTTTCTGAATTGTCGACGGATTCGAACCGGAGATCGAATAGAGATGAGATTCGCGAGCGACGAGAAACCGATACATTTGTACAAACTAAACGGTAACCTGCCTCATACTCGACCAATTTCCCAGGTAACAAAATGACGTCATTTAATTATTTAATTATGTCAGCTTGCTACCTGGGCTGTATGCTCTAATTGATTTTATGATGTTTTACGCGTAAATTTTTGTTGGAACAGGCATCCTTATCTCGTCTCACTAACGAAGGCGATAAATATTGTACATAACGTGTAAATTGAAGTATATGCGCATATTCTTTGCATACAATAAATATACCTTCTTTTATTTTTGAATCTATTGCTTTTCTGATTGCTGTATAGTTTTTAATTTATTATTTAAATATTACTGCCAGATATGTCATATATATATATATATATATATATATATATATATAATCGCATTTCACACATAGCTCGAGTTATTTATAGATAAATTATATTTACTTTTCGACTTAAATCTTGTAATTATAATATATTTATTTTTAATACCCAATGAGAAAGCTAATCAGTTCGATGTCGAATCAATATCAATGCCATCAGAATACATCGATGGATCTATAGGCAACAAAATATTCTAAAATTTGGTATAAAACTTATCAAACCAAATATAATTTCAAATATTATCATTTCAGTAGTACATCGAAAATAGATCGAAATTTTAAAATCCATCAATGTTTCTCTAATATCTAGGCACATCGATGTGTTCTCATGGCATTGATATCGATTTGTCATCGAATTGATAGTAACTTTTTCACTGAATGGAATATTATTTCTTGTTTTTATTATATAGTATTATATTATATACTGTATGTATGTTTGCATAAATACTACATAAAATAAAAACGAGATCATTATCTCTTTAAATAAAATATTAATTATAGATTTAAGTTGAGAAATGAACGATTTTTTAATGGATAAATAACTCAAATTATAAAGCGCGGTAAAAAAATTATATAATATATGGATATCTTATTGTTAGATATATCTGTACATATCCCCGAGTATTTGACAGTTTTGTAGTATTTGTAGAATAAAAAAATTTATGCGAATATATTAAAAGTAATATATGCATAATACATATATGTATATAAAGATTATAATGCAACTAAAAATGTTTAGCTTATTTTTGCAAATTTTAAGTTAATATACATACGAAACTGTTAACGCTTTTTTATATTTAAGTTAATTATCATATCATGATAATGCAAAGTGTCTTTAAGAGTGGTCTATTTGTCGATTTCATCATATTTCCTTTTTCTTGTAATTTTAAATCACGGTGACAGAGAAACGAATATGGTCTATAATGATATATTTGTAAACGTTCATGGAAGAAAATTTACGCCGTCTATCTATCTAAGTGATTTGAAATTTATTGATAAAAGAATAACTTGACGCAAATTTATTACAAAAAATGCCTGCATTCGCATGATAACGCGTAAGTTGATACGATAATTTTCGATTATTTGAATCATATCGAAAGACAATAGGCCGAATAGAGTATATACATATATATAATAGTCATAATTTTAATCAATATTAAATATTATATTAATTCTTAAATATAATTAACTCCATAAAGTAACCAATCTGTCAGTATTCGTTTTAAATTGAGCGAATAATGTTTTATTGTCAATTATCACATTTCTCTAATCTCAAGACGGCAAAACAATTGCAAAATCATATGATAAAACTATCTATTTTTATATTCCGCTTTTGTCAACACTGAAAATATCTGTATAAATTTTTTCATGCTCGTCAAGAATTTAAGATGTATCCTCCTTTATCTATTTTAGCAGAACCGATCGGCCAATCTTTAATTAACTCTCACCTGTTTTGTCCTATGATCTCATATTCTGTTTTCCGTTTTTAACGACTAGATTTCTTGTCTACCTCCATCTTATTTTCATATCTGTGAAATATCAATCCCTTTCTGGTTTTTAGAATTTTCTTGTATAATATTAAACTGCTTGTAATATCATGATCTATTTTTACACGTTTTAGAAACTTCTATTCTATTTTATATTCTATCCATCGTATTCTTTTCTACTTATTTCCTGTCTTGCAACTTGTCTTCTCTCTTCATTTCTCGTCTCTTCTTCTTTTCACAGAAATTTCTTTTTTATTTATCCTGGCTGTTTGTTTAGCAATATCGGTATAATTTGGATCATCTTGAAAAGCTACTTTGTAACTATCATATCTCGCTACTAGCTTTTGATCTTGACCTATTACCATTTGTGCACGACATGAAACCTTATCATAGATCATAGGCCAAAATCATATTAATATCTTCATTTTTGTGAAAAATTGGACTGGGTGCTTTGAACGTCGACTTGTGATTATTGCCACCATTACAGCATCTCGAAATCTCATTGCATACGCCATGTGCTGTATTACTAGATAAAATTTAAATGCCTTTGCTTTTCTTTTATAAATCTTTAGTAAATTTAGTAGCCAAACGATTACCTTTCATCTTCATCGTAATAATTATATTATCCGTTTTCTTCTTTCTTTTTCGTATTTAAAATTTTTCTCTTCATTTTCTCTAATTGCATAATGTCATCCTTACATTTCTAATGCTTCATTATTATGAATATTATATGCCATAAATTATGAATACTAAACATCCAAAACATAATCACACCTTTAACTAAATATATAGTACATCAATCAATGTAAATCTTAAGAGTATTCTACAATTCTTTATTTATTTCCTCTAAACAAAGATTCGCATAATGTCTTCAAACTTAAGACTTGTCAAATTAAGTTTATCCATAACAAAACATCTGATTTTATGTAAAGCCATCATTATTTTAAAGTGATATTTTCCTTTTTTATTTACAAACTTTATTTAGAACTAATTTACATCTAAGAGTCTTATATCCTCTTTTTATAAATCTCTCTGACAGAGTGCTTTCTGATGAACACTTCATACATATGGATTATATTTTTATACGATTGCCGCCTGCTTGACGTTCTTCTTTTCTTTATACTGCCCCCTTCCATTGAGCTCTTCGACAATATCTTCGCGTGTCCGTCCTTTAGTCTCCGGTACTAATACGAAGCAGAACATGAAACTGCACGCGCAAGAGATAGCGAGAAGGAAGAAACAACCGTGCATGCCTAGTAGAGCGATGAGGTCGGCAAAGATCTTCACTAGAACGAAGGCTGAGATCCAAGCCATGGTAAAACCCACAGTCGCGGCTACGCTGGCTACATCGCGGCTGAATATCTCGGACATTATCACAATTGGTCCGCTGCCCATTCCCAGGGCATACGTTATCACAAAGAGAGAGAGTGCTGCGATTGGTATCCAACCATAAACGGATACATCATATTGTAACTGCTGGAGGTAACAGAACGTGCCAATCACACAATGACACATGCACATTGCCGCGCAGGATATCAAAAGCAAAGACCGTCTACCCGCACGTTCTATTAAAGACGTCGATAGAAACGCACCAAGAAGCATTATAACTCCCACAATAATGGAAGACATATTTGGTGATAACGAACTGCCGGACATTTTGAAAATACTCTCCGTGTAACTGATCTAGAAAAGTCAAATTAATTAAAATTAAGAAATTATTATTCAGCTTATTTTGTAGAAATGAAGACTCATCATGAATAGATCGAATAAAAGAAAGTTTTTAATATCATTTCCCGTGATTTTAATACATTAAATCACTAGTAATTAAGAAAGGCAAAAAATGACTTAAATTATTAAATCTTTTATTATTGCTTTTGATATAAAAAACTTTGCTATATAAGATTAAATTATATTTTTTTTACTTTTTATAAGATAAAACAATATCACTTTGAATATATCGGTAATTACCACCGCAAAGATCCCAGCAAATTGTTGACCACCGAACAATCCCAAGACGATAATTAGTCCTTTTATCGTTGCTCGGTCTCTAAACAAATCCGATAGCTTGGCGGCTTTCGTGCACGCGGTTTCCTTAATTTGCAATTGTAGATCCGACAATGTCTGTTCTACGATCACAGTATCTCCAGCTTTCAACCAATTCAACGATCTAAAAAGAGCCAATTGCAATATTCTTTTGCGATGCTTTGAAGAAGAATATGTCTCTCCTCATTCCGCTTACCTAACTGCTTCACGCGTACGATTTTGGCGTACCAGGTAGACCGGTGATTCCGGCATAAAGGCGAAAGCGATGATGTATAATGCGGTCAAAATCGCGCCGACCACAGCGAGATTATACAAAGACATCATGCCGCCTAAGATGTAAGCCAGCAGTATCCCAAAATTTGCACAAAATCCTATGGAACTTGCTAATATACCGCGGATGCTATCGCACGAGATCTCCGACACATAGGTCGGTACCAGGAAGCACACGCTAGCTCCAGTGATACCACCCAAAGCTTTCGCTATGTAGATATGGATGTGTTCGGTTGCGAACATGATCAACAGCCAAGATAACATCGTCGGCAACGCTAAAGCATAACCGAATCTCTTTCGACTGAACTTGTCGGGTATCACCGCAAGCAACATTGTCATAAAGGTGGCCGTTAGAGTCAAAATGCCATTCATCCAGGATACACCTTCGTCCGACATAGGCTCTCCTCCTACGGCCGGCGATTTTGCATCCTGGAGTTGAAGAACTGCCGGTGATTGCCATCCCATAACGAATCCATAGCACACTGACGACAGATTTACTGCGAAGAATAATTACATGATTTCTCAGCTCCGAATAATTATCACAAGAGTCAAATAGAGATTTTTTAATCAAAGAGACTTTTTAAGGTAATATTTTAGAGTTTTAATGTAGTTTAAAGCTATTAATTATTTTTAGAAGTGATGTTTAAGTGCTTAAATATATTTAATTTATATTTTTTACATTTTTGTTCTTTTAATTTTTCAATTTTTTTAAGTGTACCAGCAGCTAATGAAAATTTTCAATTATAAAACTTTCGTATTACTTTACGCATTGCTTACTGAAATATATCAATTTATTACAAGGTATATTTCTTGAAGAATTGAAAAAAAAAGGTGATTTTTCTTTTGTTATTTACCAATCACCGTGAAAATGAACTGCCGCAATTTGCCTGGCTCATTCACTGATATTTCATTATTCTCCATCGCACGTCGTTCTTCCAGAAAAGCGTGATCGAAATGATATAATGTTGCACGATTGTCGACAGACTCGAGCTAGAGATCGAGAAGGGGCAAAATTCTCGAACGACGAGAAATCAATACATTAGTACAAATTGAACAGTGGCCGATCTCGGACTCGACCGATTTGTGTGCTCTAATTTGATTTATAATACGTAATGGTTGTTCGCGCATAAATTCTTGACGGAAGGGGTATCCTTATCTTTTCATTCTCACTAGCAAAGACAGTAAATACATGACAGTAATATATGGTATGTGAATTAAAGACATACGCATAATTTATGCTACCAGCAAATACTTTGATTTATAGATATATCGCTTTTCCGATTGCTCAGCAACTTTTGATTCTATATTACTGGCACGTGTGTGTGTATATATATATATATATATATATATATCGCATTTTATAACTTGAATCATTTCTCAGATAGCCACAGTAATTATGACATTTTGATGTCAAAATGCATCATTTGCCATCAAAATGATGTCATAATAATTACTGTGGCTATCTGGGTTATAGATATAAAGAATCATTTACCTTTTTCGATATAAAGCTTGTAATTAATATTTTTATTTGATAGAATATAATCTTGTTTTTATTAATACATATATTTATAGCAATATATGTGTATATATATTTGCTTAAATACTTTATATAATTAATGGAAGACGCGAGATCACATTTTATCAAATAAAAATATTAACTATAAAATTTAAGTTGACGCAACTCAATAACTTTTAATGAATGAGTAACGCAAATGCGATAAAGCGCGATAAAAAAGTGGACATTTATAAACATATCTTAGTTTGAGACATCTTGTACAATTCCCGTACATATGCCGAATTTTTTATAGCTTTATAGCATCTATTTATAATTTATAGAATCCAAGAAATCTTACACGCTTATATTAAAAGTAAGATAATATATTAAGATTACATTGCAAGATTTTTTTTGACAAAATCGAAAGTTAATATATATAATTGTTAACATTTTATTTATGCTTAATATTTATTTATCATATCACAATAATGCAAAAAATCTTTACTTTTAAAAAGATTTTTTAAAAGGAGTATATTTGTCGATTTTATCATACCTTCTTTTCATTATAGTTCTAAATAATTACACAAACATACACAAACGAATTTGATCTATAATGCTATATATATATATATATATATATATATTTTTTTGCAGACGCTCGCAGAAGAAAATTTGTCACTGTCCAACTAAGTGATTTGAAATTTATTGATAAAGAAATGACTTGACGTGATCTTATTATAATATAAAAAACGTATGCATCCGCATGATAACGCGTTAGTTGATATGATAAACGTACAATTTTCGATTATTTGGATCATATCAAATGAAATAGGCCGAATAGTAGTTAGTCATTATTTATATCACAAGTTTTTATAATCAACGTTAAATATCTTATTAATTCTTAAATCTTATTATTGACTCCATAAAGTAACAAATCTGTCAGTGTTTGTTTTAAATTGAGCGAATAATGTTTTACTGTCAATTTTCACATTTCTCTAATCTTAAGACGACGAAATAGTTGAAATCATGTGATAAAACTATCTATCTTTATATTTCTTTTTTTTTTAACACTGAATTAAAATCTGTATAATTTTTTTCAGTTTCTTCAAGAATTTCATCGTGTATCCTACTTTATCTATTTTATACCAGAAATTGGCCATTTTTTATTAGCTTTTACTTGTTTTATTCTATGGTATCATATTCCGGTTTCCAGGACTAGATCCCTTGTCTACCTCCATCTCATTTTCATATCTATGAAATATCAATCCTTTTCTAGTCTTTAAAATTTCCTTTCGTCTAATATTAAACTGCTTATATTATGATGATTTATTTTTACACATTTTAGAATCTTCTTTCCTATTTTGTATACTACATATTATACTCTTTTCTACTTTTTTGTCTCGAAATCTCCTCTCTTTACTTCTTGTTTCTTCTCTTCTTCTCAGGAATTGCTTCTTCACTTATCTTTCCTATTTATTTAGTGATATCTGCATACGTAATTCGAGTCATCTTGAAAAACTGCTTCATATCTTTATTATATCTCGTCACTAGTCTTGATCTTGTTCTATATTGTCATTCTTGCATGATATAAAACGTTATCATAGGTCACAGGCCATAATCATATTAATATCTATATTTTTGTGAAAAAGTGGACACTCTTTGAACGTCGACCTGTGATTATTGCCACAATTACAGCATCTCGGAATCTCATTACAAAATTGCCATGTGCTGTATTATCACTGATAAGACATTTAAATGCCTTTGCTTTCCTTTTATAAATCTTTATATAATCAAATTTAAAACATTTGTAACATTGTTTAACTGTTTCAATATAGGGTCTTATCTTCAGATGGCTTATGCCTTCATAAATTGTAAGTTTAGAAGCCAAGCGGTTTTCTTTCATTGTAATAATTATTTTATTCTCTCGTTGATATACACTTCTTTTATTTCTGTGTCGTAAATTTTCCTCTTTATTTTCTCTAACTACATAATGTCATCCTTACATTTCTAATGCTTCCAATAAATTATGAATACTAAACATCCAATCCACAATCACACCTTTAACTAAATATATAAAACATTAATCATTATAAATCTCAAGACTATTCTACAACTCTTTATTTACTTTCTCTAAATAAAGATTCGCATGATATCTTCAAACTTAGACTTGCCAAATTAAATTGATCCGTCAACAAAACATTTGATTTTATGTGAAGCCATCATTATTTTAACGTGATTTTTTCCTTTTTTATTTACAAACTTTATTTAGAACTAATTTACATCTATTAAGAGTCTTATATCCTCTTTTTATAAATCTCTCTGCCGGAGTCCTTTCCGATGAACACTTCATACATATGGATAATATTTTTATACGATTGCCGCATGCTTGACATTCTTTTTCTCTTTATACTGCTTACTTCCATTGAGCTCTTCGACAATATCTTCGCGCGTCCGTCCTTTAGTCTCCGGTACTAATACGAAGCAGAACACGAAACTGCACGCGCAAGAGATAGCGAGAAGGAAGAAACAGCCGTGCATGCCTAGTAGAGCGATGAGGTCGGCAAAGATCTTCACTACGACGAAGGATGAGCCCCAGGACATGATGAAACCCACAGTCGCGGCTATGCTGGCTACGTCGCGGCTGAATATCTCGGACATTATCACGATTGGTCCGCTGCCCATTCCTAGGGCGTACGTTATCATGAAGAAAGAGAGTGCTGCGATTGGTATCCAACTATAAACGGATACATCATATTGTAACTGCTGGAGGTAGCAGAATGTGCCGATCACACAATGACACATGCACATTGCTGCGCAAGATATCAAAAGCAAAGACCGTCTACCCGCACGTTCTATTAAAGACGTCGACAGAAAGCAACCAAGGAGCATTATAGCTCCCACAATAACTGATGACATGTTTGGCGATAAGGAACTGCCTGCCATTTTGAAAATACTCTCCGTGTAACTGATCTGGAAAAGTCAGAAATTAATTAAAATTAAAAAATTATTATTCACCTTATTTTATAAGAATGAAGACTGACGAATATAGATCAAATGAAAGAATTTTTAATGTCAATTTTTATGATGTTAATACATTAAATCAATAATAATTGAGAAAAGCAAGAAAATGACTTAAATTATTACATATTTGCTCTTTATATAAGAGACTTTACTATATAAGATTAAATATTTTTTTACTTTTTTGAGTTAACACAATATTAGTTTGAATATATTGATAATTACCACCGCAAAGATCCCAGAAAATTGTTGACCACCGTACAAGCCCAAGATGATAATTAGTCCTTTTATCGTTGCTCTGTCTCTAAATAAATCCGATAGTTTGGCGGCTTTTGTGCACGCGGCTTCCTTAACTTGCAATTGTAGATGCGACAATGTCTGTTCTACGACCACAGTATCTCCAGCTTTCAACCAATTCAACGATCTAAAAAGAGCGAATCGCAATATTCTTTTGCGATGCTTTTAAGGAGAATATTTCTCTCCTCATCCCGCTTACCTAACTGCTTCACGCATACGGTTTTGGCGTATCAGGTAAACCGGTGATTCCGGCATAAAGGCAAAAGCGATGACGTACAATGCAGTCAAAATCGCACCGACCACAGCGAGATTATACAAGGACATCATGCCGCCTAAGATGTAAGCCAGCAATATTCCGAAAGTTAGAGTAAATTGTATGATACTTGCTAATAAGCCGCGAATGCTGTCGCACGAGATCTCTGACACATAGGTCGGCACTAGGAAAAACACAGCAGCTCCAGCGATACCACCCAGAGCTTTCGCTATGTAGATATGGATATGTTCGGTTGCGAAGATAATCAACAGCCAAGATACCATCGTCGGCAATGCTATAGCATAACCGAATCTCTTTCGACTGAACTTGTCGGGTATTACCGCAAACAGCATTGTCATAAAGGTGCCCGTCAGAGTCAAAAGGCCATTCATCCAGGATACACCTTCGTCCGACATAGGCTCTCCTCCTACGGCCGGCGATTTTGGATCCTGGAGTTGAAGAACTGCCGGTGATTGCCATCCAGCAATGAATCCATAGCACATCGATGATAGATTTACTGCGAAGAATAATTACATGATTACTCAACACCGTATAATCATCGCAAGAGTCTAATAGAAATTTTTTAATCAAAGAGATCTTCAAGGTAATATTTTAGAGTTTTAATATAGTTTAAAGCTATTAATTATTTTTAGAAGTGATGTTTGAGTGCTTAAATATATTTAATTTATATTTTTATATTTCTATATTTTTGTTCTTTTAATTTTTTAAAGTGTATTACCAGTTATTGAAATTTTTTTTATAAAAATTCGCATTACTTTACGTATTACTTATTTAAAGATATCATTTTATATTAAAAGGTATATTTCTTGAAGAATCGAAAAAAAGGATATCTTTCTTTTGTTATTTACCAATCACCGTGAAAATGAACTGCCGCAATCTGCCTGGCTCCTTCACCGATACTTCATGCTTCTCCATCGCACGTCGTTTTTCCAGAAAAGCCTGTTTGAAATGATAGGATGTTGCACAATTGTCGATAGACTCGAGGTAGGGATCGAAAAGAGGCAAAATACTCGAACGACGAAAAAGCAATACATTAGTACAAACTGAACGGTAGCCGATCTTGTACTCGACCAATTTGCGTGCTCTAATTTGATTTATAATAATAGCTGTTCGCGCGTAAATTCTTGTCGGAAGGGGTATCCTTATCTTTTCATTCTCACTAGCAAAGACAGTAAATATACAGGACAGTAATACATGACATGTGAGTTAAAGACATTCTTTGCCAACAGCAAATACTTTATTTTATCGGATGTATCGCTTTTCTGATTGCTATAACTTATTTGGTTTTATATTATTACCAAATGTGTATATATATAAATCACGTTTTATAGCTAGAATTATTTATAGATAAAAATTATTTAATCTTTTCAATTTAAATCTTGTAATTAATATTTTTATTTGATAAAATATAATCTTGTTTTTATTATATATATTATTTATGTAAATATACATATATATATATATATATATATATATATTTGCCTAAATACTTGATATAATTAAAAGACAAAATCACGTTTTATAAAATTACAATATTAATTATAATATTTCAGTTGACGCACGAGTAACTTATTTTTTAATCTATATGTAACTCAAATATAAAGCGCGATAAGAAATGGATATTTATGAAATATATATCTTACAATTAGATTCAGATATCCTGTACAATCGTACATATTTTGAATATTTAATAGCTTTATAGCATCTATGTATAATTTATAGAATCAAAGAAATCTCCACGTTTATATATATAAAAGTAAGATAATATATTAAGATTATATGAAGTTTTTTGTGCCAAATTGGAAAATTAATGTATATAATTGTTAACGCTTTATTTATGCGTAAGTTATATTTATCATATCACGATAATGCAAAGAATCTTTTTAAAAGTAGTCTATTTATCGATTTCATCATACCTCCTTTTCGTTATAGTTCTAAATCATTACGACATATACAAACGAATATGATCCATAATGATATATACATTGCAGACTCTCGTGGAAGAAAATTTACGTCGCTGTCCAACTAAGTAATTCGAAATTGATTGATAAACTTATGACTTGGCGCGAGCTTATTGTGATACGAAAACGTCTGCATTTACATGATAACGCCTAAGTTGATACGATAAACGTGTAATTTTCGATTATTTTGAATCATATCGAACGACAATGCAAATATACGGGCCGGATCTAATAATAGTAGTCGTCATTTTATCGCAAGTATTTAATTAATGTTAAATCTTTTATTAATTACTCCATAAAGTAACAAATCTGTCAGTGTTTATTTTAAATTGAGCGAATGTTTACTGTCAATTTTCATGTTTCTCTTATCTTATAAGAGGATGAAATAGTTGCAAAATCACATTTATCATTTTCCTCCACACTAAATCTCAATATTTTTTTCAGTTTTTTTTCTTATTGTATCAACTACATATATTAATTCATGCTTTTGAATGAATAAGCTCTTCCTGAATTTTAATAAAATTTTATATATAGATATTTGAATTATAAATAAATAGCTTACTTTTTGGAAGAATAAATCATTTTTAATCATTTTATATTGATATAATGATACAATTAGTAACATTTCATAAAATTATAATTTCTTTAAACCGAACGAGCAAATCTTAATTTATTCTTGAAAGGGTTTAAAAAATGATAACAATTGATGGTTTCAAATAGAAGATAACACTTATGGAAATTTATCACGCACTGTAGTGTGTCCAATTAATCACTTATTTCGAGTACTTAAATTACTGATATACACAGTTAATTTAAGTACTCGAAGTAAGTGATTAATTGGACTTACTATAGTGATAAATTTCCATAAAGAAAATAATCGAAAATATCATGTTTTTTATTATCGATCTTTTTCTTGAAACAAAGATTATAGCTCTTTTCAAGTTCAAATATTGCGCGTATTTGATTGCGCTGCATTAATACCAACTGCGACGCGTTTAATATGTGACTTACATATTGGTTAACATGTGACACGGCGGTCTATTCGGATGTAGCCAATTAGATTTACGAGTTATTTGAAAATAATACTTTCAAATTTCTGTAGTACAAAATTCGCGCTAAGAGCGAATTCTCTATTTATCGTTGACGCGACTAAACTCGCATCCAAAATGCGCAAAATCGACCCGCTGAATGCCTTATAATAACGATGTCAGAAATAGAATTGCGGTAGTTATGTAATTGAACTCTCTCGGTAAGTATCTTCCTTCAAATAATAATACACAATTATATTTTTATTTATCATTAAATGTCAGAATTATCCATCGTAAGTGTCAAAAATTGTCAAAATTAATGTTATTATATATTTTATTTGTTACTGTCTTCGTAAATAAAAATTAATACTTTATATAATTGAAATTCCATTTTTTTATTTGCTATTCGATGCATTCGAAGCTGTCAAATTCGTCTTGCGTAGCGTTTAAATCTTCATGTCACATTGCGCGCCGCGATATTTTCTTATCTCGAACGCGAAGAGCAAATCGATAGCGTCCCGCATCAGCTGTTTTATAACCCACACCAGCAAGGCTTTCCTAAGGTCGTTACGTTACCTGTATTCTCACGGCCATGTTAGGCACGCACATACAAGAGGAATGAGGACGTTTCGCGATAAATGAGACTCTTTTGAGGTCTTCGAGGTGTGTTTATAATAACATTTATTTTTTGTTCCCTTGATCGTTTATCCTTCACGTAAATCAGACCATCATCAGAAATTGTTCTCTTAGGACTCTCAGGTCTATTGTCAATCTGTCAGTCGAATCTGTATGTTGTTTTATGTGAAATAGATCTTCTTGGCTACGCTACGAAGCCTGGTCGATCGTAGAGGACAGTTCACAAAGCATGGCATGGCACTGCAACGGCACTACAAATCAAGAAATGGTAACAAAGCTCAAAGGTAAATGATGCCCTGCGGTCATCAGGACTGGCTTAATGTAAACATAAAAATGCTGAGTGTTTTGTTTTGATAGACACAATTATTTATCTGTATAGTAATTAGGGACAGATTATTCACAGATGCTGGCATATTGGCAACGGAGAAAGCAGAGACCGCAATGCTCACTGTTGACAGAGCAAAATATTGTCACGAATCAGATCCTTATCTTGATCGTCCTAGAAGAATTGGATACAACGTGACAATCAGTGCACCGCATATGGTAAGCATATGCTACATATTTTAAATTGACAAGATTTGATATTTTATAATGAAGAAAATTTATATTTTTTATATATATAATTAATACTCTAGATAGCAAGAGCTATCTCAATCGTTACTAAATTTTCCAAACAAAATTTTAATATAAAGACTTGTTTAATACACATTTTTAATACTTCTTTGATGTTGATGTCTTTATTTATTATAAAATATAAATTATATATATATATATATATAGACAATAAATAAAGACATCAACATCAAAGAAGTATTAAAAATGTGTATTAAACAAGTCTTTATATTAAAATTTTGTTTGGAAAATTTAGTAACGATTGAGATAGCTCTTGCTATCTAGAGTATTAATTATATATATAATATATATATATATATATATATATATATATATATATAATATACATATATATTATACATCTAATTTATACATTATTCAAAAGAATGTTTACATGTATGTAAGAAAGATATTGAAGAACAATTATCAGAAATATAGTTCAAAATGAAGATATCAGAAAATATTCTTCTTTTATCTCATCTATGTTATTCATGTTAAGCTCATATTTGCTTTGAAACAATCAGAGATTTCCAAGTAATGATATTGACACATTGCATATAAATAATTGTCATTATAGATAATGTAAACATTTGAATTGTTTAATCTATTCGATAAATTACATATATCTTTTTCAGCATGCATACGCATTGTCAATCCTCTCCGATCAACTCTTTGATGGCGCCAAGGCACTTGATGTTGGCTCAGGTTCAGGATATCTATCTGCTTGCATGGCATACATGGTAGGCTTGCACGGACGCGTAATCGGTATCGAGCATATTCCCGAGCTCATAGAAATTTCTACTAGGAACGTACGCGAGGACAATCCGCATTTTCTCAAGGAAAATCGCATCAAATTTATCGGTAAGCTATCAGTATTTTGTTAACATTATCTCTTATCTTGGAATGTCCATTTGACAATTGAAGCTCTTCCCTTTTGTCAATATCGCGCTAGTCCCTCATTTCATCAAAGAAATTTATTGTACAATAAAAAGAAAAAGAAACCGTTCAAGAAGTATTACATGTATACATAATTCGAATAAAAGATACTCGTGATCCATCCACGATGGACACGGAGTAGGTATGTACGTTGCCGTGAAGAGTCAAACGGAACACTGTCCACTGATTGTATGGCTTTGCTGTAAAGGTAAAAGATAAAGACTGCCGACTAACAACAGGTCATTATGAATGCGCCTAGTGGGAGATGGCAGATTGGGGACACGCTGCTGATGGACCATACAACGCTATACACGTTGGAGCAGCGGCCGACACTTTGCCGCAAGAGGTAAATCTAAACAGTATATAGAATTTGAAAAAAATGGTTGTGCAACGGTGCAAATTGATTGTAGCTGACAGACCAACTAGCTCCAGGAGGTCGACTGATATGCCCGGTCGTAGCTATAGAAGGTTTCCAAAGGTTTCAAGATCTACTGCAAGTGGACAAGAATGCAGACGGCACAATCACGAAGAAGAAACTGATGCAAGTTTCTTACGTTCCTCTTACGGATCCTACTACGCAATTAAGTAATTAATAGAATTTTTAGATAATGAGATCTCACACAGCGAACGCGAAATTCGAGCGAGCGATTAAATCCGCCGTGTACGAATTGTCCGCTGATCAACGATAATTGGAATTTGATATTCCGATAAACCAATTCTTTTCATGCATGCATCGACATGAAATATGCTCCGTTTTCAATTAGGAGTATAATAAATTATATTTTACATATTATATATATATTTCCTCTCCTCTATTAATTCCTTTAAATAATTCAATTAATAAATAACGTGAATTAATAAATTAACGCGAAAGTCGATTATATTAATCGCTTACGTTGAACGCAATTCAATTAATATAATCTGTAGTCGTGGAAAAGCTAAATTTGTTGCAACGCAGAAATTAATATTTATTGCTGTTCTGTTTTTATAGATAATATATACTTATTAAACACTCCAATTCTTATGCAAGAACAGGATTGTAATGAATTAATAATAAAAAGGTAAAAGTCTCTTTTAATAATGTAATGTATTTTATATTAATAATGTAATATAAAATACAATTTTATATATACTTTCGTATATTGTTTCTTTGTGTTCACATGTATATTATCGAGAATCTAAATATTTATATATCTTCAAAATTATATATATTATATATATATATATATATATATATATATATTAATTTAACATTTTTGTACAAGAAGAAATTAAGTTAGCTTACGAAGATAGCTTATCAAACAAAATAATGCTTATGCAAGCACAAGTACAATTCTAAGAAAAATTAAATCAATGTTTGATCATATATATAGGTATATATTTATACAATTCTAAAAAAAAATAAGTTAAATTAGCACAAGGATAGTTTATTAAACAATTTTGATCTTAATTTTTCAATTTTATTAGGACAAAAGTATTTTATGATATATATATATATATATATTATGTGTGTGTGTGTGTGTGTATGTATGTATGATATACGCCATGGAACAACAAATTATTTATAAACGATGATATAATTAAATTACCGCGTTACATATTGAAAACGTCATCGCTTTGATATCGAGCAAAATTTGCGAGGAATCGATCAAACTAGCGCGCAGTTTCCGCCAATCGAAAATTGTCACCCAATCGCGACGTTGGCCACTCGCGCCGAATTATAGATCCGCGGCAATCCGGGACGTTTCAACATCTATTTTGAAAAGCGACTTGCGCAACCGTTCGTTCGCGTGATTGTTCAACAATTGTCTGCGATCTCGCAATCCGGTCGAGTCGTCGGAGCACGAGCAGCGACACTCAGTCGTGATCGCATGTTCCCGAAGGAAGCCCGAGGCTGGTCCGAGTCAGCTGTCAAATTGTCAACAGAAATCGAGAGAAGGTCGGCCGAGGTTTATTTTCTTAAGAAAATCGCACCCTTTATCGGAAATTGACAGCTAGGTGCGTATCGAGTATCCAGAAATAGGCACGCGGAGGTGCGACAATTGCCAGGTGAACGACGACGTGGACAGATCGCCGGGTGGACTGTTGTTTCGCACTCGACAGGCCGCCACGAATCCTGTCAAAATTCGGACCCGCGTAATCGGGTGCCTTTCCACGACACTCGCGATCCTGTCGCCTGTCGTGCTCGCACGAGATACTTTGTACATTATGTACGGACGTTATCATGGGAGGAGCAATCAGAGCTCGTCCAGCATCTCAGGCGTAAGTGTCGCGCGACACTGTTATGCAATGTTGTGTCACATCGCTCTGCACGCCGGTGTTACACACTACTGCGTGTTTTGACGTCAATTGAAGATATTATTTATTTCGTAAAAACAAAATGTTTACAATCTGCTATCGGTATTTTGAATCCAGGCCAAGCCTCAATTGAGATTAGATACACTGACAGTGCATAATTTTTTAAAATTCTCTATAGTTCTTAAATTGACTTTAATTCAGAATTAATTTAGAATAATTTAGAGTTTAGTTGTGACAAAAATGCACAAAAAATATATATATATTTTAATAAATTTTACATAAAATTCTATTTATATATATCCTTGTAAATATTTTTATATGTCATTGCAACATATATTATTTATGTCATCATATAATGATATCTTAAAATTATTTTTAGGATCTAGGGTGATTAAATCCGACAGAGTGTTTGAGGCAATGAATTCTGTGGACAGAGGAAAATATACTCATCCCAGTCATGCTTATATAGATTCTCCACAAGGGATAGGTTACGGCGTCACCATTAGTGCTCCTCATATGGTATAAGTTTTTCATTAGACTTTGATTTTTTCTTTTGTACATAAAAATGTCAATATTTTATAATATAATAATTATATATGTATATATATATATATATATATATATATATATATTTATAATATTTATTGATCAAAAATTACAAGAGCAAAAGTAACATAAAAACTTATTTAAAAATATTACATTTACTCTCAATGATATATATCACTGATAAGAAAAACAAAGAAAGGAAATTATAAATTGGGAGACAAATAAAAATTCTTTAGCATGCATATGCCCTGGAATTGCTTGAAGAGAAATTGCGTAGTGGTGGAAAGGCACTGGATGTTGTTTCTGGCTCAGGATACTTGACAGCATGTATGGCCATTATGCTTGGACCACAAGGATTAGCTGTTGGGATCGACCATATTCCAGAACTTCGAATGATGGCTGAAGAAACATTCGGCACGATCATCCGGAACTTTTGCGCAGTGGACGTGTGGAATTAGTTGGTAAATAATATCTACTTTTAACAATTAATATATATATATATATATATATATATATTGTTAGAAGTTTACTTTCTTACATGTTTCCTTAAGTAATGAAATTTTTAACTATTATAATTTGATTGTAATTAGTCGGGGATGGAAGATTGGGATATCCCGATCGTGGACCATATAACGCTATTCACGGGGAGCAGCCGCTAAAGAATTGCCACAAGCGGTAAATAAAATGCTCAAAATTGTTGTCGAATGTGCTGGGACAAGCATAAAAACGACATTTTTTAATTTATAGTTATTAGATCAATTAGCACCCGGTGGACGTTAATATGTACCAATGGGACCTGAGAATTCGGATCAACCTTAGTACAAATCGACAAAACCCAGATATGGCAGAATCAAACAACGACCCTTAATAAGCGTAGTATTGTTCCACTCACCGACAAGGAACGACAGTATCATCGATCATGAGATATGTGTCTGCTCCAATAAGTGAGCGCTACTTTATTATTTATAATTACGAGTATTATTTTAGTCTAACATCGTACACGATCACGTAAAAAACATGTTAGAGAAATAATTCAATTGCATCAAATAGACGACTATGTTAAAATTTTTTTTTTGTTAAAAGAGATCTCTATCAAAATCTAGCAATAGAAAACATTTCGATCTTTGAGCTTATTAACACTTAGAATCGTCTTTTTTATCATATTTTTATTAAATTTATTAGAACTAGACAACACAAATGGAAAACTAAATATAATTTGCTTATAGATAATTTTACTTTATAATATAAGTATGCAATAATGTCCATTGGTGATATTTTGTCTAGTCTTTAAATATTATGTGTATGTGTATGTATGTATGTATGTATATATATATATATAATATCACACACACACACCACACACACACACACACATATATACACTAATACGACTGTGAGAAAAAAATTGATGATTAATAGCTATGATATTTAAATTATGTTAGTGATAAATTTGCAGTTGCTTTTACATTAAATTTTGATTTATGTGATACAATAAGACATAAGAGATTATATTCGATTTATTATAAATTAGACACAAGACTATTTTTAGTTTAAGCTAAAGTTTAAAGTATAATTTTCCCCACTTAACTATTTGTATTATTTATTTGATAATAAAATTTTGTATGTATGTGCTAGGTTTCTTTAAATTCTACACACAAACGAAAAGAGATAGTTATATAATTAAACAGTTTATTATTAATGATATATATATGTAAAAATGCAAACAATTATATATAGATATAACAATTATATATAGGTATAATTGTTTACATTTTTCTGTATAATAAAACTCTATTTTATATATGATATATAATATGTGCTGTATCTTTTTCTATGGCTTTATTTATCTGTATTCTATGATCTGTGTGTTCCAATAATATTGATTGCAAAATTTCTTTAAATTATATAGATGCGGTATTTAAAAATTTTTATATATTTACAATATAACACGATGACTAGAGTCAGAAATACTTCATATATTTTCATGTCACATATACATGTTACATAAACATTTGTAGTTACATTTTATCTTAAATAATAAATATGTTATAAATTATATATATAAATTGCATAATACCTTTAATAACGAAATTTTCTCAATTATCATTTATATATGTATGTTTGTACATATTTGTATGTGTATAAAATATGTATATATATATATATAAATATCTATGCAAATAATATGAAACTAATATATCATACATCATAATTATAATAAATTAATAACTAACAAAAATTTGCTAATTCGTTCGAGTTTTAATAAATCGCCAGGGCTTTTGTCAAACGTAAGAATTTTTATTCGCAGAAAAATGAAATCTATATAAAGCACCGTCTGTCTGTATGTATGTACGCGAACTACTTCCGCATTTGTGGACCGATATTCGTGAAACTGGTACCAAAATGTTGCAAATTTTTTTGGGGGTGGCTGCTGTGGGGTTTTTTTTTTTAATTTTTTAATTTTTTTTTTTTTCTACAGAGGAGGGTATGTTTAATCTTTTTTGCAATATTTCTGAACACATGGTATCAAATGTTGCAATTTTTTTGGAGATAACGACGATGCGGTTTTTTTAAGTGTTACACACCCACCCCACCCACGCACCCACCCACGCATCCACCCACGCGCATGCGCATTTATGGACCAATTTTCACGAAATTAGTACCAAAATGTTGCAAATTTTTTTGAGAAAACTACTGGTTTATTTTTTTAAGTTTACCCCTCCACCCACGCACCCACCCACGCAATCGTATATTTATGAACCGATTTTTTTTAAATTGGTACCTCTTCCGGCTCTTGCCCATCGAGCTTTCTGTTTTACTGCAAAAAATGATTATATTACATAATATTTATTTATAATATATATTATTATATATAATATTGAGGAGGGAGGGAGAGGAGAGAGAGAGAGAGAGAGAGAGAGAGAGAGAGAGAGAAAGAGAGAGAGGGATTAATTTAATCTATATTATAAGCAAGCACCGTCCGTCTGTCTGTCTGTCTGTCTGTGCCCGAACTACTTCCGCATTTGTGGACCGATTGTCTCGAATTGGTACCAAATGTTGCAAATTTTTTCGGGGGTGGCTGCTGTGGGTTTTTTTTTTTAATTTTTTTATTTTTATTTTTTTTCTTCAGAGGAGGGTATGTTTTTTGCGAAAAAATTTTTTTTTGCAATATTTCTGAACACATGGTATCAAAATGTTGCAAAATTTTTGGAGATAGCGACGATGCGGTTTTTTTAAGTGTAACACCTCCACCCACGCATCCCCACCCACGCATCCACCCACACGCATGCGCATTTATGGACCAATTTTCACGAAATTAGTACCAAAATGTTGCAAATTTTCTGAGGAAACTGGTGTTTTATTTTTTTAAGTTTACGCCTCCACCCACGCAATCATCCACGCGCGTGCGCATTTATGGACCAATATTTTTACGAAATTGGTACAAAAATGTTGCAAATTTTTTGGAGATGGCGACGATGCGGTTTTTTTCAAGTGTTACAACACCACCTCCACCCACGCACCCACCCACGCGCATGCGCATTTATGACCAATTTTCACGAAATTAGTACCAAAATGTTGCAAATTTTTCTGACAAAGCTGGTGTTTTATTTTTTTAAGTTTACGCCTCCACCCACGCACCCACCCACGCAATCGTATATTTATAAACCGATTTTTTTAAAATTGGTACCAAAATGTTGCAAATTTTTTGAAGATGGCGACGATGTGGTTTTTTCAATTGTTACACACCCCTCCACCCACGCATTCATCCACGCGCGTGCGCATTTATGGACCAATATTTTTACGAAATTGGTACAAAAATGTTGCAAATTTTTTTGAGAAAGCTGCTGTGTGGTTTTTTAAAAGTTTTATCCCACCCACGCATTCACCCACGCATTCACACATTTATTCACAGACTTTTTCGAAATTTGTACTCAAATTTTGTTGGGGATGGCTACTATGATTTTAACAAATTTTTATCATCCTATTCATCCACCCACGCACCCATGCACCCATGTGCATACGCATTTATTGACTTGGTCACACCAATAAGTAATTTTAAATAAATTTGTGTACATGTTTGTGATTGCAAAAATTTGCAACATTTTGGTACTAATTTCGTGAAAATTGCATACAAATTAAAGGTTTATTTACACGAATTGCACACATAATCACAAATACGTACACAAATTTTTAAAAATTACTTCTTGGTGTGACCAAGTCAATAAATGCGTATGCAAATGGGTGCATGGGTGCGTGGGTGGATGAATAGGATGATAAAAATTTGTTAAAATCATAGTAGCCATCTCCAACAATTTAACTACAAATTTCAAAAAAGTATGTGAATAAATGTGTGAATGCGTGGATGCATGCGTGGGTGGGATAAAACTTAAAAAAACCACACAGCAGCTTTCTCAGAAAAATTTGCAACATTTTGGTACTAATTTCGTGAAAATTGGTCCATAAATGCGCATGCGTGTGGGTGGAGGTGTAACACTTGAAAAAACCACATCGTCGCCAAAAATTTGCAACATTTTGGTACCAATTTTTTTAAAAAAATCCGTTCATAAATATGCGATTGTGTGGGTGGATGCGTAGGTGAAAGCGTAAAC